CAACCAACCAACCAATCATTCAATCAATCAATCAATCAATCAATCAATCAATCAATCAATCAATCAATCAGTCAATCAGTTATTCCACAGTACTAGTTTTCAAACCAAATAACTACATCACATTATAATGAATACCACTGCATACACAATGTCATTCAAGCATTCCAATGGACTGATATCTTAGGATATGTCAGTATATACCTGCCCTTTCTCTTGTTTAACAGAGACAAAATGATCCAAGTAACGCCCTCCCAGTGATTCATCCACAGTTTGTAAATGTGCCTTKGGATTCTGCATGTGTTTCATGAGCTCGTCAGGATTCTGTTTGTCAATGGCGGCATTTATAGCAGCTGCAGCTGTCAGCTCTGAAGTATGGAATGACATATATGATTGCTGCTAGTATCAATAATAATATTAGGATGATATTAAAGATTATTAATGATTAATAATAGCATGATATGATAATGAAGACAAATGTGAAGATGAACATGATGGTGATGAAGCATCATCAGCAATAAAGATATGTATTAATGATTACTGTTCAAATGATGATCCTGACAAGTCACCTGTAACAGTTTGAACCATCTCATTATGATCAAGGTCATTCTGTTTCTTTGCTTTCTCCTTCTTTAATTCACTATGGTATAGAAATGCACTTCTATTAAGGACTGTTGGCAGCATGGCTTCACTCTTTTGAAGCAATTGGTGGGTTTCCTCATGATTGTCCTTATCAAGACTTTTGTTGATTGCTTCTACAGTTACAAGCACTGCAAAAGAATGAGTCACATCAGTATCATAGCAAAACCCTAAATGAAATGCCAAGATAACTTTAAAATGGTAAAGAAGGAAGGATATGAAGATAAACCACATACACAAAAAGGAGAGGAACGATGGGATAGGGACAACACAAAAAGGAAGGGAGWGGAGGAATGAAGAAGGAAGGAAGAAAAGGGGAGGAAGAAGGGATGGGAGAAAAAGATGAAGAGAGGAATGAAAGTAGAGAGAGGAAAAAAAGGAAGGGAGGGAGAAAGAAAGGAGAGGAAGGAAGAGAGAAGGAAGGAAATAAAGAATGGTGAATAGAATGTAAAACAAATAGATAAATCAATGGAAATGCATAACCATTTTATCATCAAGATGACAAGAAACAGGCTTACTTTGCTTGTTAGCATCAGCTGCTTCGTTGGCAGAGTTTACAGTTTCTTGTACTTCCTCTTTGATCAGCTGAGCATTTGGATCATCAGATGTCTACAGGAAAAAGGAAAATTAAGTTAGGAGTGGAAAATAAAAAGCACAAGAAAAGCAGAATTAGAAAACAACATACCACTTGTTTGACTTTTCTTTTTTCCTTCAACATCTGGAGATACCAAGTTGCATTTTGTCTGTCAACGTTTCTCAACTGGGCTGATTTATCAGACAAGGCTGCACACAATGCCTCAGCATCATCACCATCCAATAGGCTATTGATTTCCTGTAGTGATCTTTGCACTAAAAATAAATGAAAAATATATGAACAAAAAAAGGTCAATAATAAATGGATCAATAATTGAAGTGAAGAAGCGAATGGATAATCAAATGAGCAAACAAAATAATGAATAAATGAACAAATGAATGAAACAAAAAATATATATTAAAAAAGTAGACACATATGAATGCAAAATGGCATGAATAATGATACAATTAACTTACAAGCCTCATCTCTTTTCTTCTTTCTGATTGTGTCGTTGACTTGGCTGATATTTCCTTGTATTTCAGCTTGCGTAAGATATTTGTCATAGATGTCAATCTCTTTATCACTMCCTGGTGACTATAAGCAGTTTTACATAGTACTCATTGCTTAAATCACAGAGTTTTAACAATAAATTCATTGTATTTTGACTTTGTTTACCTTTGCAAGAGCTTGTTTTGATTTAGTTTCTTTGGCATTGTACAAAAAGTTTTGATAATCATCAACATTTGTGTCATCAATRTCTACAAGATGTGCATTGGGATTCTTTAAGGTTTCCAATGTTCCAGCAGAACTTTGATGGTCAATGGCTTCATTGATCGCAATGACAGCTGCATGCACTGAAAAAAGAGATGGGTGAAAATGAATAATAAATGAAAAAGAAAATGAAATGGGGGAACAGATTGACAAAATTGCAGCTGAAAATGATGTGGAATTACAAACAGAAGCAATATTTCTTGTTAATTAAGCCTAAGATTACAGTAATATTTCAAATTAATATAAACTTACATGCTGCTTCATCAACTGGAAGCTGAAAATATACAAAATAACTCACTTTACAGTCTCTATTACACTGGCAACCCTTATCAGGGCTTATTACTGTTTTTTAATCAAACCAATGACAATAAACATCCAAGGGTTTGTACAATATTTTCATCACAAAATTCAAGGAGTATTATATTGTTTTGTATTTTTTTTGTTTTTTTTTAATCTTTTCAAGGTACCCTTAAAAAAAAACTTTCAATTCCAGGACATTTCAAGGATTTTAATGTGTAGCATGATCCCTACCATAGTCACATTTCAAGTTTGAACTGCTATGATGAAGAAAAAGCAGTAAAAGTATCTGAATTAGTTGAAGTAGTTTCTGTACCTCACTTTCAAGAATTCCTCCAATCTTGCTGAAAGCTGGCAGTTGTAGACCATACTTTTCTAACTCTTTGCGCATAGCACTGATTTGTTCCTCTATGCAAGCAAATAAGAACACATTGCCATCAATGTGAACAAATGAAAATATAAATGAATGGATGAATGAATGAACAATTAAATGAATGGATGGAAGTGTGATATCTGTGAAAACTAATTAAAGAGTTATCACTATATCATGTGTATCTTTTCAAATTAATGATTGATAATATTATGTTAATAATACCTGTAAATTCAGCCTTTCCATATAAGTCCTCTATTTGTGGTGCCACTCCAAGTTTAAAAAGGAACAAACTATACAACAACAAGATATCAATAATCAAAAGTGAAACAGCTTAGGATATACTGAACACTCATGAACAGTCTCTACTAAAAAATAAAATAAGTATGTATAAGGAAAATAACCTAATAAAACCTGTGCATTGTGATTTTTAAAGAATCCGTTTATATTTGTATCAATTTTATTTTACTTTCTTTTCAAAGTCCATTTTTGGTAACTTAAGAGTTAAATGAGAATTTGAAACAGAGATTCGCATAATTAAAGTTTCATCAGCAGCTATTTGGTTTCATCATTGGTAAAAAAAATATGTCAAGAAAAACTCTTTTAGTGTGGAAAAACACTTCACCATCTGTCATTAATCAATAACTGCTACTTATGAATTGTTTCAAGATTCAAATTGTTAAAATAGATGTCACAAAAGACTTGAGAAGCTTTGCAATTACAGATGCAAAATAACCATCAATATTAAAGATGTGCATTGTCTCAGGCAAGTGAAGCAAGCATTCAACCATATAAGGCCATGTAACTAGAAAAATTCATGAATTAATTGGATTCTGAAAATGTATTGTCTACTTTACTTATTATGACACTTGGCACCCACGTACATAGTGAATAACATTCATAAATTAATGACAAAAACACTGTTAAACTTGACAATAATGTATTAAGACCAAACAAGATATTGAGCAACTACATAGACCTATACAACCTCTATTTATATGACAATATCACACAAACTGCACTTGAATTATTATTAAAGAAAATGTAAAATGGAAATGGTTAACATGATTTGTCTATACAAGCTTGATTTCCCTAAACATCTGTGCTTCCTGTGGCTCTTATGTTAAAAGCATTGAGATTATCTTATTATTTCAAGTAATATTCAATATATTTATATATTTACAAGATTGTTCAAAAGGGATTTTTAACATATATGCAACATAAGCAAATTTCTAAGAAATGATGTCATATAACAGTTTGTACCTATATGTAGAAGTCAATATTCTACTGGAAAATTTGTTCACATCTTTTAGTAATATATCCAGTTTGCACCAGATGAAGTGAAATAATAAAAATAGATAATAAACTTTTTCTGATAGGGTAAATAGAATCAAGTTCTTCCTAAGTATCATTAACTATGACATTATCATTACAAAAGAGAGATGAAAAAATGTAAATATGGCTACTAATCTCTAGCAATTACTCTAGATAAAGAGTTTCCTAATAATAACAATAACAATTTTAATCAAGATACCTTAATCAATGCAATTTCTTTTCATTTTTACTCAGATATTTATTGCCGGGTCAGTCAAGAAACAAAGAGTAAGAGTAAAAGAAATAATTATGGAAAATAATAAAATGGGAACTGGTAGTGATATTTGTAATCCTACCTTAATGCATGCACACAATAGATGAGTTTTGGCATATTCTTCTTGTCATAAATATCCGTTGTCTCAGGATAAAAGACCTTGAGCAAAATGGCAAATCCCAATTTTAATAAACTTTTCAGAAATACTACACAAAAGACAATTTATGCCAACAAAAAGAGATTTCTCGAGTTATTTATTAACTCACATTGTGAACATAACAGATTTTGAATAAAAATATATTTGCTTTTGCACATTGAACTAAATGTTGACATAAAGATCAGTAGATTTAGAAGGAAAATTATTTTAAGCCCTTGAAATTTCACAATCAATAATAAAAGTTGGGGTTTTTGTCTAGCCACATTTGATACTGTTCGCATTAAATGGATTACTGCAGTATGTGATAGTTTGAATTTTTTAACAAGTATAGAAATAGCACAGAGAGCCGACTGCTGTCTAACTGCAGCATTTACCTTGGGGAGTCCAACATCTTCAAGAGCTCGTAGGAAGTAGTTTATATTATCCGTGTGGCGAAAATGAAGGCCTTTAGACTGTACAAGAAAAAAATATATGAGATATATACACACATATAGTTCGTGACTTTTGAAATTGAAAGTCGAAACTAAAGTATGCCTTTGAATTAAAATCTTGTTAAATTGTATTTGTACTATTTGTACATTTCCTCTAACATGCAATACACAGCTCCACCTAGAAATTATTTTAGCGATAGTAGGATGATAATTATAAAAATCAGAACTTTTTTAACTTCTGTTTACCGTGAAATGTTTCAGCTCTTTGTCGAAGATACGTCTGTGTGGTACGACTTTTGGTGCAAAGAAGTTTCCTAGCTTCGCAAGGTGGACTCCATTTCGCATATATTCTTCTAGTTCAGTAGTTTCAGGAAGATCTTCTTTGAGACAGGCTTCCATCCACCTGTAAGATATGTCACAAACCGGCAAATAATTTAACGGTATCAAGAGGCAGTATTCATCAGCTAATCAACCATTCAAAGGGTGTTGTTGGTTCGTGTCTTACGCTACGAACATCATTGAACTTACACTTTGGCTTCTTCCAAGTGACATAGATATTGGTAAGCTAAATTCTGCTTCCTTTGTTCATCCATTTCGGTTCCTGACGCCCTCTCGAGTCCACTATCTCCTAAGCAAACCAAGAGATTAATAAAAACATGCTTACTGTATGTGCAAAATGCGCGCACTCCATTACCTGATCCGCTCTCGTAGCTTCCCGAAGAAGGATCCCAGCGCCCATCTTCTTTATCGACATTATTTTCCATGGCTTAACCTGTCTTTCTTGTGATTAAGACCTATTTCAGGCTAATGCCGTCTCCGTAGTTCGCAAGACTACGTTCGGCCAACAAGAAGGAGGTGGTCAGTTTGTTTTCAAAGTGTCCTTTGGAGGGAATTTCGAATGAGACATCAGAAATTATGGTCTAGAAACTTCTCCCTACCCCTCCCTAGAAAACATTTTTTAAACAGTGCTTTTCATATTTGCACTTAAAATATCATTTTCCAAATAAATATTAGTCATTTTGCGTATAAAATGAGCATAAAACAATAAGTAAGACTTTCTGTAGGGCTTCGGCTTGGAAAATAGAAGTGAAAGATAATTTTTCCATGGTGCGCAAATATTCTTCCCTACCCCACTGCGCAATCGCGTGTACATTTCAAAATTACCTTGCATCTTTGCTAATTGCTAATCAAGTTATCAAGTTTTGGAAAGTGTTTTCTCAAAATTGTTTTAAATAAGACCCCCAAACGATGAGGAATTTCACATTTTACATGTTAATGAAGGATACCAGCTGTTTGAACAACTATGTAAACAACTAAACATGCTTTAGTGAGGTTGTCTTGTTGCCGTGATTACACACAAGTAAACATTGATTTTGCTGCCTGTTTTCAGCTTAATTGACGATGCAGAGACCAAATTCACGAGAAAAAATGGCTCTTCCTGCTATATCAGGAGAAGGCAATCAACTACGACATGAAGCACTGAGCCGGATGGATTTTCTAGAGGATAGGATGATACATCAGGAGAAGACAACAAGATCTTTGATAGATAGAGCTTTGAGGGTGAAAGAGGACATTGAGGAAAGCCTTGGGTACGCTCAAATGAATTGGCAAGGCGAAAAAAAGGCAAGGGCACTTCTTCAAGAACATATACGCACTATTACATCTGTTGTCAAGCGTTTAAGTCGTGAAATAGAAGTTATAGAAGATGAGTTACGCTCAAAGGAGAGCAAACTTGAAGGCAACTCCACGGCTTTCAAAAATCTCGAATTGCATCATGTTGCTGGGGTGACGGATCTGAGGGGCCGTGTTGCAAGATGTGACCATGCCATAGAAAGACTGATAGCAGATGTAAGAACCTGTGTAGAGGCTATCAATGAACTGAGGCAGAAACAAGATCTTCATGTTAAAAATACTAATGAAAAATTTCACAATTTACAAACTGATATTAATGAGCTTACATTAAAATTTGAAAAATACAGTGCTGAGTACTCGACAAACATTCAGAAAATGAAAGGAGATGCTGATGAACAAGTAACAAGATTAGATTCAAAAACAAAATCAGTTGTTGAGGACCTGCGAGGTAGCATCACCTCAAGTCGTCAGTGGACAGAGTCTGAATATTACAAAATAACTAAAGATTTCCATGAAAGACTTGAACGAATGGAAGGAATCTTGTCCCAGAGGCAAAGTAAATTAGAAAACAAAGTTGAACTGTATTTATCTAAAATAGAAAAACTCCTTGAAGAAGAAAAGGATAAATACTACAACATATGGGAGGTACGATTGAAAGAAACGAAGTCTTTGCAAGACAAGGCATTAGGTTCCACATCCTCCTCTATGAGAAGGGAATACAAGCAAGGGTTTCACACCGTTCATGAAAGCGTCAAAAGCCTACAAAATGTTTTTGAAGCAAAGCTTAAACTTGTGGAAGAAAATTTACAAAAATCCATTAACAATGTGTTACGTATGGTTGTTTTGACGTAAAAACCTTTTAGTGGATATTTGATACATGTAAAACCTTATGTTTTTGTAGATGTTTTTGTGGCCCTTTTGTGCACACCTTGAACCACCATTCACGTCCTTTTTCATTCAAAACAACAATTATTAGTTCCAATCAAAATTGGTTTTGGTGTTTATTGAAATATGTAAGCCTTCGCATTACTACATGCCAAAATGGATGAAATTGGAACTTTCTATTGTTGTTTACCCCAAACTAGAAGATTATAATGTATTTCTAATATATTTTGATCAGGCGCTTGTAATATATAGTATTCTAATGAAGGAGGAAGTTGTCAATCTTGACAGACATAAGTCATATAGTCAGATATATCACTCAAAGTGATTTGACACGTCAAACATTTCTTTCCAAAATATATTCAGAGTGTAATATTTTTAAAGTGTTTATAGAAGTACAAGTAAAACAGTCTATAGCCATCTGAGACACAGGGACAAGTTTTAATTGGACAGTCATAATGTACTTGTATGAACATTGATCCTAAACCTAAAGGCCAGTTTGGAAATAACATGCCAAGCACTTCAAAAATTACAAATGGAATGTGCTTAATGTGATAGACAAACTAACCCCATATAGGCTTTGTATATAAAACCCTTCTATTTACAAAATACAAGCATGAATTGAAGATCAAGTAAAAACTAAGGAATAAAAAGAAGTAAACATCTTGATGTACAACTATTAAATGGAAAAGAGAGAGTGTGACATTTGAAACATTGAGCAAATACAGTTTATACAGCTAAAAAAAAGACTTTTATCACAATGAATATTGTGACTGTTATAGGAAAATAATACCAACAATACTATGTCACTAACTGTGTTAAACAAGTGCATTTCATAAGTCAATTAAGAATAATAACTAAAATTAGTACACAATACAAACTCATTTAGTTTTTTTAACTGCATTTGCTCTGCTCCATATTTGTGTCAAGTTTCTACTGACTTGTACAACTTTTAGGTCATGATTTGGTTATAAAATAWAATGGTTTCCATGGGACTTCAAAACAATTGTCAGCATCAATAGTCCTGTACTGTTCCAACAAAAGAAAACAAKTCTTGTGCTTTGAGTTACTGGTGTCTATTAGCTGGTGACTATTTTATAGTCCTATGAAAATCATTCTGATAATTCTGTTAAGTTTTATTCTTTGTGTAAGCCTCACATCATTTTTTCATGGTCTTTTCAGGTCTTTTTGGTTGAGAAATACTGAAAAATTGCAACAAAAAAAACTAAAACAAAATAGTGCTAGATAATGTCATATCTATTGTTGAATAATTAGCATTGTTTAACAACTAAATAGTGCAGCAAATGTCTGGTTTTAGTGTTTGTAATTCAAACTGCTCACTATTTTAGTTGATTTATAATTATTATAGAGTTTGTGTGTTTATACATGTAACTTGACACAAACACTTAACCTACATGTATATTAAGACATTTAAATCAATATGATGAGTGCATGCCATTTCATCTTTTGAAAAGTATCCATCGCAAAAGAAGAAAAAAAAAATTCTATTAAATAAACCATTCAAACAATTACTAAATAACACTACCTAGTTGTGAAACATTGCTAGTTTTTCAAAAGATACCAGCAAAAATGCTCAAAATCACAAACAATCCATCTGAATTCCAAACATGCTCACACAAATAAAATAGTTTTATATTACAGAGCCACAGTTGGCCACACCATTTCTCCCTCTAAATGCATGGTTGCAAACTTTTCTTGTGAGTTTGCTTTTGCAGTCAATGATGTATCTCCTAAGTTTTCATAGTCTTGTCAATCAATAGTAACCAGAACACAGCTTCAGCTTTGTCACTTCAATGCAGAACGTATTTTCTGAATATTATACTTTCCAGTTGAATTCCAGCTGCTTTAATGCTCACAAAACCTTTGAACTTTGACCTTGTAGTCCTCTTTACAACATTTCTTTTTCAGCTTTCAGCCGGAGATTTGTACTATCCTTTACAAAAGAGTCCAAACTTCAAGATTAAAAGATGACATTACAAAAAATATTCTCTAATATTGACAACAAGACATTTGTCAATCTGAATCAGACTTTCTTCTCTTGTAAGATATCTTTTCCCTTGAAATAGACCTAGAGTGTCTTTTAGAGTGTTTTCTGGTCTTAGGTGATGGAGACACATTAGAAGAACTATCACTTAACGGTGACTTGCTGTGCAGATTGTCTACATAGTGTTCTGATTTAGATTGTGGAGAGGGAGATTTGGAATGAGATTTCCCATTCTTTGATTCTGTCTTCTTTGCAGGTGAGCGTGATCGTGAATGGTCTGATGATTCTGGAGAGTGTGATCTAGATCTTGATTTGTTCTTATCTCTGGATTTGTGATTAGAGATAGATCTTGATCGGCTTTTCCTTTTAGACTTTGATTTTTTTCTAGATCTAGACCTAGAACCTGATCTAGATTGACTTCTTTCTTTTCTGTTTGATCTCGATTTCTTTTTTGATCTTGATCCTGATCTGGATCTACTTCTATCTTTTCTTTTGGATCTTGATTTAGATCTTGATCCAGACC